CTGGCATGTTTGCCTAGAATTCGTTTTTGATAAAAACAGCTATTATGAAAGTGTATGAGATTGGGTTTTTTAATTTTTCTTTTTAGATGTTTTGAAAAATTTTTATCACTCTTTGCAAAATTTAGTTTTTTCTCAAAAACCTTTCTACCGATTTTCAAAAAGGGTATCCACAGAAAGAAGGCCTACCTTCTTCTTTACCTGCGTGCTGTCCTGGTCTCTTTTTGCTTAACTTTTTTGTCTACAGCCATCGAAAAAGGCTATGGGGGAATATTTGACCGATATTTTAAATTTTTTTCGTGTTCTCAAAAACTAACCGATAAAAATCTAAGATCTTGATTTTAATAAATAGAACTGCTTTGAAAAGCTCCCCTCCATAAGTGGCTACGGCCAAACTTTTTTTAGAAATAAAAAATGGCCCTCTTTATAGTCATTTTTTATTTTATTTTTACCGTTTTTCGAAACTTTTTTTTGGCTTTTCTCAAAAACTAATCTAACAAATGTTGTGGGTTCAATGGAGATAACGTATAGTGGGACCCCCCTGCAGAAGGGGCTACTCACAATTTTTTAACTCTCAAAGTTATTGTCCTCGGAAATGTCAATTTTTTGATTTTTCGAGCGTTCTCTTTCTAAATTTTATGAATTCTACCGAAAAATACCTTCAAATACCTTAGATTTTGGGTTCAATCCTAATTATGGACTCTGGGAAACCCTTTTGCTTACGCGGCTACACATTTTGATTTTGACCGTTTTATGAAATTTTTTTTTTTTTTTTTAAAAGCTACCCTATCAAATCTGTTGAAAATTTTAATAGAAAGAAGCGATTGCACGAGTTTTTCTGCAGAAGTGACTACTATTTAATTTTTTGCAGGAGAGGGGTGATGTCTTTTGTCACTCTACTTATTTTATTAGAGAAACAACTAAGGTTCTGGGCAGTCCATTTTTTGACATTGCGAATTTCGTCCCGCATCAGTATAACAAATTCAATAAGTTTTAAACATTTAATTCCAGTTTTATTTGGGCACTAGATGTCCGTTTCCGAGACTTACGAAAATTTTGGTTCACCTAGTCTTTTTCAACATTTCTCATTTTTTTTCGAATTTTGAGCAAACAAAACGTGAAATAGCAAAACTTTAAACCACATTTTTCTACAGGGACATGCGAATCGATACACATGCTAATAAGGTGGTCCCCTAGTAACATTAGCAGTTGAGTCAATTTAGCGTGAACAGATTAAATGTGTGTTTTTTAAATGGATTTGACGTATCGTTAGCACTACATGACATGCCACCAAATGGCATTGTGGCTGCTCTCAACTACATGTAATAAGTAGATAAAGCCAGGTACTATAATGTGGAGTGCGGCCAGTATTTAGACAGCCGCGTATTCATACTGGTCAGTATTTAGACAAATACTGTTTCAACCAATCAGAATCGAGAAAAAACATAAATAATCCAAAATAAATAATAATTATTTATTAATTTCTTCTTTGTCTCGATTCTGATTGGTTGAAACAGTATTTGTCTAAATACTGACCAGTATGAATACGCGGCTGTCTAAATACTGACATGTAACCTATAATGTAGATCTTATGTAGGATAATTTTACACTGTGTGAGACCAGCAAGCAGGCAACTTTTATTTCATATCCATAAAACTTCAAAGTTTTTAAAACATCAAATCTGATTGACTGGAACGATCATGAAGCTTGGTTTTGAAAATTTTGGGATATTTTAAGGAAAAGTAAGTTGCTTTAAATCGTGCGATGAGTAATGTGCTGTGATTTTACAGCTTAAGTTGATAGCTATCAGTAAGTAGATAACATTTCCAAGTTATCAGTACTTGGAAATGTTATCTACTTACTGTCCTGGCTATTTACTTACTCCTATGTATCCATTTTATACGAGTAGAGAAAAAGAAGACAAGACAACAGATAAACAATCATTTAAGAGAATATCCGGGGGTATTATTATTTATGCGTTATTATCTTCTTTTTCCTCTCCTTTAATTAAGTTAATTCAGGTGGTTTTATATTTTGCCGCCCTCAAATAGTGAGAATTTTCAGATCTCTTTAACTATTCGCCCTTTTGCAAAGGTGGGGGGGGGGGGGGGGGTGTGGTGGTGGTGGGGAGATTCTTTAGTAGGTACAAAATCCACAAGCTTAACCATTGAATTACTTCTTTATTGGGGTGGCAATTCGATACTGGGTAACCTGGGAGGGGGGATAGTTAAAGTGATCCGATTTTTCGTACGCCCAGCACAGTTCACGCCGGTTCCGCCTTGGAATCCGCCTGGGAGGGGGGATAGTTCAAGAGATCCGATTTTTCGTACGCCCAGCACAGTTCACGCCGGTTCCGCCTGGGAGGGGGGATAGTTAAAGAGATCTGATTTTTCGTACGCCCAGCACAGTTCACGCCGGTTCCGCTTGGAATCCGCCTGGGAGGGGGGATAGTTAAAGAGATCCGATTTTTCGTACGCCCAGCACAGTTCACGCCGGTTCCGCCTTGGAATCCCGTTCGAATCCCGCTTCGGTCACGGTTGGAGGGGCCCCAGTGTCATCCGCCTCCTCAAGGTGGGACCGGCTGCGGCAAAATGGATGACATCTCCTCCCCCACAGTTGGCCCTGCACTGAGCAGGCCGGGGCTAATAAAAAAAACGCCGGTTCCGCCAATCATCAGTTTTTATTAGAAAAACAATTAATTCTTCTATTTGTGTGATTGATTAGATTACTACGTTTTATTGATCAGCTACTTAATACTTCCACCTTGAGTTATAATAAAAACGATCACGGTTTCCAAGTCTTTGTTGCTTTTTTCCTGTAAAGTTTTTATAGGTACTGGAAATTTTTCAAATAAAAATATTGACAACATTGATAAGCTTTTCTACCAAAACTTTGACCTCATTATTTTGAATGAGCTACTAAAACTCAGTTTGTTCTCTTCTACTTGTCAAAATCAAATCTTAAGTCAATGACGCCGTCGTACCAATTTTTCAAACCACAACTAAACGTGCTCAACAAAAAAACTTACATCTGAGCTCAATAATCACCTCACGTGAACAATAACACTTAATTATTTTCATATGGCATGATATGGTTATCTGAGTAGAAATTGTGGCATACGGACAGGCAGCGCGACAACGTTGAAATCACTCGAAAAGCACAGTTCATTAATTTAAAATCGATTTCCCATATCTATTTCCCAAAGAAAAGTTTTTTGTTCCGATCACCAATAGGCAGGGCTGGGCAATTTGCTGTATATTGCCGTTCTAGCTGTAAGCCGTATTCAGCTGTCTATTTGCCGTATACAGCGCTGTATACAGCAGCTTGGAAAAATGTTTTTTTTTTTGAAAAAATTTATTGAATCTCTTGAACATCATTATCTTGATCATCAACGTCACACCAGTTTTGAATCTCAGCTTGTACTTCGACTGGTTCTTTGTCATTGCGCGATATCTTGAGAATTTTTTCGAAGTTGTAACGAACAAAAAGAGTATCATTCAGACGCTCAGCACTCAAACTTGCTCTGAGTTGACTATGAACCAGCTTGTGACGAGAAAAAGCACGTTCAACGCTAGCTTCCGAAATTGGAATTTTGAGCAGAACGTTCGCCATTGTCTGATGAACCGGGAAACTGCTGGTGACAATTGGTATCCCAAGGACCTGATTGTCAAGAATAGTAGTGTGTTCAGTTTCAAACTGGTCAAAACGCTGTGGTGGAAGCATAGCCTGAATCCAGCTCAAACAACCAGGATCTTCCGAAGTGTACATTTTAGTTAAAAACGCTAACGTGTTTGCAGGTAGATCAAGAAAATCAACCAGAAACAAACTGATCGCACAAATTCGAGTTTTCGCGAAAATAACCCAACGCCGGGTGAACTTGTCAAGTATTTCGTTTTTCTCGTAAGCGGTAATTGATTGGTTGTCGGCCCAGTTAGTGTAGATTTTCTCAAATGAAGTGAAGACAGTCTTGACGTTCGCTTCATCTGCTTGTAAAATCATGAGTTGCACCGATATTTCCTCGAGTACGTTCACAGACTGTGTAAAAATCACCTTGTCGGAAAGGGTGCCAAGGTCTCGATCAACGCATTTTTTTATTGCGTCGTAGCGACTGTTCCAACGGACTGAGCTGTAACGCTCCAATTGATCTGTCCTAACAAGTTCGTCTACACTTGATAGAGCAATTTTCAGAACGTTAAAATTGGAGAATAAGTCGCCAATTAGCAGATTCAGCAAATGTACCACGCACCCAACATTAACGCTACGTTGTTTTTCTTGGGCAACTTGCCTCAAGGCTGCTTGCATATTGGGCGCATTGTCGGCGACACAGGCAATAACTTTGCCCCCTGCTTCTTCAATTTTCTCGATAATTTGAAGAGTTTCTCTCGAAATGTAAGCTGCTGTTTTTTCTGCTGCAACAATACTGCTCCAATAAAAAATAGCTCCGTCCAAGCCAAGCCAAGCCAATTCCAGCCCTGCCATATACAGCCAAGCCAATTCCAGCCCTGCCAATAGGAAAACAAATATGTTTTCGGGAGTATTAATTTTTTTATTTGGTATCAAAATCAGATATAAAAAAAAACTTAAGATGTATCATGTGAAAACCTTTTCGGTCGTGATTCGATCTGGTGACGCTTTTTGCCTATAATTTTTAAAATATCCCAATACATATAATTTTTTTAGTTTTCGAGTTTTTGCGCGGCGTTATTTCAGTGTTCGGTTCAAGCCATTACGGGTGCAGTATAGGAGTGGGTGATAACTATTTCTGTGTTTTGGAATTTTCGTGTCATACGTATAATTAATGAAAATAATACGTAATGTCCTGAAAAAGATCTATGAAAAAAGGATTTTGTTATCGCTTTTTGCAGCAAAATTAACTGTGGTCGGAACCTGTACAACATTTAAAGCAGCAACCGTCAACTATTATTCTGTGCATTTGCTCTCTCTCTCTCTCTCTCTCTCATGGGTTAATGAGGGGTGTGTCAGTATGTGTGTTTTACTTTCAGGAGTGCTGGTGGTGAATATCACGTGGAGGGGGAGGAGCTACGTGGGAACTCTGCTGGACCACACGCGCTATGACTGGGCATCCGGATCCACCAGGTAAAAATGTTTGTGCTCGGAATGTTTGTGCTCGAGTGATTTTTTTCTTCAGACAAACTTCGACTTTTTAACTAGCCAATGTGACGGAATTTTTTCATTCAAAAGATTTTGTTGTCCTGAGCTTAAATTTGAAGATATTTTATCTATGATCATTTTTGTAAAGTTATGGGGGTTTAAAGATTGCCATTTTGGCTGACTTGGGACAAGTAACGCGTTATATATTTCGCGCTATTAACGAGTAAGCGGAGATTTAATCCTCTTATAAACGAATTGGTTGAAGGAAGCTTATTTTCAATAATTGATTTGTTCCTAGGAGTTATCGTCTAAGAGTTATCGTCTTGAAGGAGTTATCGTCTAAAATCTATTTTTTTACGGTATTCTATTTTGCTAGTCTAATTTCCTAGGCCCCCTATATGACACATCGGGACACATGAAATTTAAAAATTTCCTTTTTTCATGCCTGGTTAATTTTTACATCATGCGCTCTTGCGTACAAAATGAGAATAGGGGGTCGAAGAACATGAGTGCCAAAAATATTATGAAACAGTGCTGCTAGTATCAGGGCAAAGCCCTGAATGCTGCGAATGTTTTTACTTTATTTTGTCTCGGTAAATACATATTAATATGTCGTCTCTATAATGCCTGACATAATTTTTTGAAGAAAAAAGGATGAAAATTTTTTCTTTGAAAATTGAAAATTTTTTCTCCTTTTTCCAGGCAAATATCAATTATTGAATGTCACATTTTTATTGGGGCTGACTGTTTGGACTGGAATCAATATTAAGAAAAATTAAGCGTCTAAAATTTTGTGGAGCTCAAATTTACCCTTACCAGATTTATTTCAACAATTTCAAAAATGAGATCAAGGTCATCAAGTTTCCTTTCAACGGAAAACTGGCCGATGTGAACAATTTCTCCCCAAAAAAGACCAAGTGAACAATTTATCCCCAAAATAGACCAAGTGAACAATCTGCTCGCTACAATTTAATGACAAATCTAAGCATTAAGGCCTGCGTAAACTATGCTCAAATCTGATTGACTGAAACATAGGTTTTTTTAACTAAGTTTGGACTTGTTCCGGTTTTCGAAGAAAGTGACGGCACATTTGCGCTCGGGTGTTTTCTCCAGACAAATTTCGATTCAAGTGATTTTAATTAGCTATTTTTGACAGTTTTTGTACCATTTGAAAGGTGTTGTCGTCCTGAGCTCAAATTTAGAAATATATTTCACCTGTGATTTTTTTTAGTGAATTATGGGGGTTTAAAAATTGCCAATTTTAGACCATTAACGCACGATATATTTCGCGCGATTAATGCATAAGTGGAGATTTAATTTGGTTAGAAATTGTCCTAGATTGGTTGAAGCAGGCTGTTTGTCATAATTGCTGCGTTACTAATGGTGAAATATATCATTTTGATCTTCATATGGGGGGATAATTGAAAAAATCTCAAAATGTTTTTGAAGTTTTTCATTTTTTTTTGAAAAATTCATAATAGTGTTAATCATAGACCTGAAAAATTAATTGGAAAGTTCAGGACTTCGCCCTGAAACGTGCAGTCCTGTTTCGATTTTCGAGGAAAGCGAGGAATAGATATGCTCGGGTAGTTTTTTAGACCAAATTTCAAATAAACGTTTTTCGGGGGATCGATCCCTGGATCTGCGAGGACCCCACCGAGTTCGCACACCACTGCATTAACCTGCCACAAGTCGAGTTAAAGTGCTTGGATTATAGTTTGATGTTGAAATGGTAACTCATATCGTTAACGCGTCACGAAATATCCCGCACTACAAATCTTTTGAAATTGAATTGAGGCAAGCCAATTGGTCCTATCAATTCCATACACGACTCAAGTTTTAACACAAATTTTAACTTTCATTAATCAAAAATTATTCCAGACCAGTTAATAAGCAGTCGGAATATTCAGGGTTTTGCCCTGACACCAGCAGTCTTTTTCGATTTCGTGAAATATTGTTCCTTTGGTTCAGAAACATTTTAAAATGTGGTTACAGTAAATTAAACACTTTCAGGTCGACATATTTTAAGTTTTTAAATTGCCGTACTCTACCTAGGTTAAACAGTCAAAAATTTGGTGCTTCTTACACAGCAATGGGTCGTGGTGACTTTTTAACTAGCAGTTTTTGTCAAAATTTTTTCATCATTGGAAAGGTTTTGTTGTCTTAACTCTAATTGAAAAACATTTTTTTATCTGTGATCAATTTTCGCAAACTTATGGGGATTTTAAATGTTGCTATCTCGGAACAATTAACGCTCGATATGTATCGTGCTATTGACGCGTAAGGGGAGATTTAAATTGTCTTAGAAATCATTCCAATTTGAATTGATGCCTGCTGTTTGGTTTTTTGAATATTTTGCTATTCAAGGTATATATCAATTTGTACTTAAGATGGCATGTGGGGGAATGATTATAAAAACTCCAATTTTTTTCATTTTAAATTTTTTTTTATCTATTTGATATAAAGTGAAAGGTAATTGGATTTGATAAAAAGCGAAACGCTCCTGCCTGGTTGGTTCAAGGTTTCTTTGCCTCCTCATATCAAAAAGAAAAATTTTGAACTCTTTTTTTTTCTCTTGAAGTGCATTTCGTGAGCGTTTGTTTCTTAACGTCGGCTTTTAATCAGATGGAGTTGGATAAACGTTGGGCTAGTGCGATAAATAAAAGAGATGCGTATTTGTTCCTGATACAACAGGCTCCTCCCATGCATAAGAGAAACATGCATTACATGTACTCAATGCGAAGCATTTCATACTTTTTCTCCCTTTCTTCCATATATCTCCATAGGAGAGTAACCGCAGTGCAGTCATTTTGTGGCAACGTTGCTATTCCACTTTTCTTTTTTCCCTCTTTTAACTGTCTCTGTCCCAAATTGGAGATTGCGAATAGATTGTTGGCTGTTGATTTTCTTCAAACTCTTACTCTGCCAGTAAAAAGGGGAAAAGGGAACGTCATAGCTCCCAGCTACCTCTAGTGCTCAGCTAGACTCCCTCCGCTTCTCATTTAGCATTTCCAACTACACAGCACTACTGCTATCTTTTGCTAGTTCTGTTTGGTGGCCTCTCTCTCTCTCTCTCTGTCTCTTGCTGCTTTTGCTTCTACCAGCAAGTACCGCTCGAGTGCAAAAAAATATCAGTTTGTTCATTCCCCCTCTCTCTCTATCTTTACTCCGTTCCAATCTAAATGCGATTGCTCTCTCTTTTATCCTCCTCCAAGCCCGTTTCTTGGTCATATTCTTTTCTGCTCTTTTTTGTAATAGGGTCACAATGCTTTCAACTGGGAAGCATTAAGGACCTATAAAAATCTAACCCATAAATCTATCAACTCCGTCAGCACCGAATTAGGCTACATTTCGATTGAGATTATCCAAGAGATCAGTTGTGATTGTGAAATAAACACAGCCTCACATTTCGTTGCCTCTATCAAATATAAAGCATGATCTAACAGGGATAGTCGGTTGCTATGCAAATTGCGGAGTGCAGCCTGTATTTAGACAACCGCGTATTCAAACTCGTCAGTATTTAGACAAATCCTGTATGAACCAATCAGAATTCAGAAAAGACATAAATAATCCAAAATAAATAATAATTATTCATTAATTTCTTTTTGTCCCGATTCTGATTGGTTGAAACAGTATTTGTCTAAATACGGACGAGTCTGAATACGCGGTTGTCTAAATACTGACATGTAACCCTCCCGACCACAGTTATTTCAGTAAAGCAATTTGAAAAACTTACATCAAAAACCTAGTTTATTTTCCCATTTTTGGGTGTAGGCGGGAAGGTTTTCAATCAGATAATAAACTATCAGAATGAGTTGATAATAGCTGAAATTATAGCTGAGTTGATTATAGCAATAAGTTGATTATAGCTGATGATGTTTGTTTCTGTTTCAGCTACTGTGACCCACCTGAAGAAAAGCGTGCAGCAAAAGGGCGCAATACCAATAACTCAAATTCATCATTTTTGAGTTCCTTTCCTCTGCCCACGAGGAGAAACTCTAGCGCGAGTTTAGCAAATGCAAACTCGGTGACGGCGGCGAATACAACCACGTCCTCAACTTCGGGAGGGGGACGGACAACTAACAACTCGATCGCGGCAGAATACGACGCCCATGCCAAACTACGTGTTCAAGCAGTTTCTCCCTTAGTATCCTCTTCAGGGAACAACGTCTACAGTGCCTCTAGTGGTGCTCCAGCAGGTACTATTCAGCAAACGCCCTCAGGAGCTAAAGGCAAAAAGGGTTCCCAAGCAACCGGATCCAGGACTCCTCCGCCCCTGACGATAGTCGAGGAGCAGCAATTGCAATATCATCACAATAGCTCACTAAATAATGGTGCTACTGCTGGGACAAGTAACGTCTCTGCTACTAGTGCTACGGGCGTGAAAAGAAAGTCCGAGAAAAATTGCGGGGGAGGGGATGGTCAGAACGAGAACAAAACAGGGAAGAAACCGCGAGTAACTATCACTAACTACGGTGCTAACAACGAAACCACTCTCACTACTATAATAAGTAGTCCCATGACTAATGTGGGTCAAGATATTATGTGGAAGTGTTCACAGGGATCATGCAGTAAAAAGTACAAGCATAAAAACGGACTTCGGTACCATATCACGCACGCGCACGCAAAAAGCGAGGAGGAAGCTGACGTGTTAATTGAGAATGAAATGAACAAGCACATCGCAGCCAATGGAGCCACAGTCACGACTGAAATGGTCCCAGCGGCTGCTTCTCAAGATGATAGTTTTAGCGACAGTGCTGCTGTGCTTAAAATGGCGTCTCCCTCTGGTAAAAGCAAGAAAGGATCCAGAAAAAGCTCAACGGCGGCTAAAGATAAGAAGAAGCCGCGACGGGAATCAGAGGACAGCACGCCATCGAGTAGTGAGCAGGGATCGAACAGCGTGTCAGATGTTGACAGCGCAATTGCAGCGACCACAACAACAATCATTGATTCTAAATCCGAAGCTATAGCTGCAGGTTCAGTATTGATCAACTCTGAAGTCAAAGAGGAACAAAGTTCGCCAATTCAGACGAGTAGCACTATATCGCCTAAAAACAAACTGGCAAGGAATTCTAGCCTGCCTCCGCTACAAGGAAACGACCCAAGCAGTCAGCCTGGAGGTAGAAAAGTTGCTAAAATTGCGCCGACAGCGCATGTGGGTCCAGACGCTGGAGGAAAACTTTTTGAACAAATGAAAATTCAGACCGGAGATGGAAATAGAAAAGTAGGTTGTTCCGATGTATCAGGGAACCATCTGAATGAAAACAGTGTTTTCAGAAACATGCCGCATTCGCAGCTATCTAGTTTTCCCATCCAAACGCCAATGTATCCATTCGGTGCAGTTGATCCAAAGCTCTACACAAACTTAGTGGGTTCGCAATTTAGCCCAAAAAGCGATTCTGCAATAAATGCTCCATCACTGGAAGGCTATGGCTCCAATGCATTGAGTCCACGATCGCCCAAACCGGAAGGAACGGCTGTCCGAATAGTGCATCCGCACTCACAACTCATGCCAACAGGTCATGTCAATCCAATCGTGCCACAGCATTCAGCGCCACAACAGCAACAGCAATGGGGACAACACGTTGCCAGTGGTTTTGTGGGGCTACAGTTGCAACAGCCATCGGGTGCGTTTTCTGGTGGCCAGACTGAGATCTGTGCCGGATTGAGAATGGCGGACAACCAGACGCACATGACCAAGTATATGGTGAGTCAATCTTAGAGCACTATTAAGTGGTACACTTGTGCTAACTGACTCTAGTTGAAATTAGGGCAACTTCACTTGCCCTCACTCTTATGCTTAAAATCAAGTTCAAGCTGCACTCTATTGCAAACTCATTAAACAATTTTAAATTTAATTCTTATCATTGTTACTTATTTGAGCTCTCAATACTTATTTGAGCTCTGAGAATTGCGACCAAAGTTATTGCTCTTTTGTTTCTAATTGAGTAGTTGGCCAAAGACTACTAAGCCGACTGTTTTTAGCTCTTGGCTTAAGGTCGCCGGTGGGCGCGCGTCACCGCTTGGCGGCAATAACCGGCTTCATTTTCGTATAGTCTTACCCTCTGTTGGCTCGACTGCGGCGGTCAATATTCTGCTGTTTAGTTTTCTTCTATTTGAACAGAAGAAAATAAATGTAATAATTCGTTGGCTGGCAATTCGACCACTCAGAAACCGAGTTGAATAATTTTGGTACAAATGGGACTTCACCGTGTGAATTATTTACAGTAAAGGATTTAGGGCGAGTGCAGACTGTTATTCTGACTTTTAATTTAACACCTCAAATTTTCTACTTGAGAAAAAGGCAACTAACTACATACAACGTACGTAAGACTATGTTCCGACTAGCCTTTAACTAGTCTCGAAGTTTAGTTCAATAAAACTCAGATAAGCTATACATTGTGGGCTGTCACTATCAAATAATTGTTCTGAGTTTCGAAGAAAGTGCGGAATACTTATGATTGGGGTAGTGTTTTTGCATTCAGTCAGTTATTGACTTAAGTAAGTTTTTCTGACGGAATTTTTTTTACCATCTGAAAGATTTTGCTGTTTTGAGCTCAACTTCAAAACGAAATTTACCCTGTAATTGTGTTTTTGTATAGCGATTTGAAAATTGCTAATTTGGCCAATTTGGGATAGTCACCGCGATATATTGCCTTCTTATAACACGCTTAAGTGGCGTATTGATGCGTTCCAAAATCAATAAAGCAATTTATTTGGTCGTAACATTAGAATACAAGACGCTAAATGCGTCCTTTTGTAGTTTACATAAGTGTTGAGGGATAAACTGAAAAAAAGTGCATCTTTTTTTAGTTGCTGGGGATTTTAGCAGACCGTTTTTTTTGGCAAGCCAATCTTTTGGTAGATTCAGAACAATTATAAAGTCAGAAAGCTAAGTTCAAACGCGGTATTGTCGATTAGCGACTGCTTGCTCCGCTGCGCCTCAATTCAACACAACTTATCGCGCGTTAATTGTCCATATTGGCAATCTTTAAATCCTCATAACTTTATGAAAAATGATCACAGGTTAAATATTTTTTCAAATTTAGGCTCAGGACAGGACAACAATTTCTTTTGAATGATAAAAAAAATTCCGCAAAAATTGGCTAGTTAAAAAGTCGAATTTTGTCTGAAGAAAAAAACCACCCCGAGCACAAATATTCCGTTACTTTTGTTACGAAAGTCGGAACAACAAGAGCAGTGGAGAAGTGGCAGAGAATAGAGGGAGAGAGAGAGAGAGAGAGAGAAAGGTGAAAGAGCAAAATGAACGAAGAGTTAGGGGACGGAGAGATAGGGGGGCGGGGGCGATGGGAGAGCGAGAGAAAGGGAAAAAGAGGAGTCAGAGAGACGGTTTTTGTTTGTAGTAGTAGTAGTAGTAAAAGACTTTAATTCCAATGGTGGATACAGGGTTAATATAAATATTGAATGAACTTACGATCGACAATTTTTACAAAAACATTTGACAAAGAATGTGCATGATCTGTTTATATCAAACAAAGTTGAAGTTTTAAGCAGTAAAAATTTATTCAGTTTTGATTTGAACATTCCCAGGGGCATGTCGAAAGATATAATTTTCAGACGCAGAAGTTCATTGGCAGCACGGGGAGCTCGTACAAAGAAGTTATCGTCAGTTTTCAATTTCCTCGTGTTCGGTATGACGAATAGGCCACTCGTAGCGGAACGCGTAGGAAGCGAGCTGGTTGCACTTTTGCAGTCAACATCAATAACATTGTTATGGAGCTTCCAAAGTAGAAGAATTTCAACTCTAATCAATACATAGCTAATTGGAAGCATATTCAGATTTAGTAGCCCTGAAACATACGATGAACATTTCTTGATCCATCTTAGAACTTTGTACTGGAACAGTTCAAGCTGATGTAATAGTGTCAAAGAAGGGCACCATGCAGGAGCACCGTAAAGTAAGATTGACAGAATGAGAGTATTGTAAAGTAACTTTTTTCGACTGCAGGATACCGAGAAAGGAATATTTCGTTTCAGAAAATAAAACAATCTGGAACATTTTATCAACTTAGTATTCAGATGGGATTTCCAGGAAAGATTGTTGGAGACTATGATACCAAGATCTTTAATTTCATCAACAAATGGTAAGATGTCTGATCCGAGCAAGAATTGGATAGAATCATCATAACCACCAAAGTTCAGAACTTTACATTTGGCAGAATGAAACTGTAAGTGATTGTTAGTTGACCAATTAAAAAGAGAATCGATATCTTTTTGAACTAATGATGGAGCAGATGAGCTCTTAATCTTCAGGTCGTCTGCAAATAGATAAAATTCACTATTTAACACATCATCGGTCATATCATTTATAAATAAAATAAACAGAAGTGGGCCGAGAACACTCCCCTGAGGAACGCCCGAGGTAACTGGCAGTGGAGACGAAATTGATTGATTTATTAGCACACACTGATACCGGTTTGTCAGATAAGATTCAAACAACTGGAGAAATTCAAAATCAAAGCCGAGTTTAACAAGTTTAGCAAGTAACAAATGATGCGGTACTGAATCAAAAGCTTTTCTCACATCAAAGTAAATGGCTAGTCCAGGAGAATTTTTATCGCAGGAAGAATAAATTGAGTCGAGATAGATGATCAATTGGCTGATAGTACTGCGCGACTTCATGAAACCATGTTGCTGACGTTTGATTAGATGTCTAACTTTTGGATAAGTAAAGTTGAAAAGAATTCTTTCCAGGATAAGGGAAATTCGTGGTAAAATACTAATTGGTCTGTAGTTAGTAATGTCATTGCGAGCATCAGATTTGTATAAAGGGGTAACAAAAGAAGTTTTCCACTGACTAGGCCAGTTTTTGTGTTTCAATATCCAGGCATATAAATCGTAAACGAGGGGTGATATGATATCAGAGCAGTGAGATAACACGAAAGAGGGAATATTATCCGGACCAGTATTACTAGTGTCGGGACAGTAATTCAAAAATGATTCAATATCAGGTAATGATAAGTTAAGATCGTTTAAACAAATCGAAACATTGGAGAACAAGTCTGGCAGTGTGAACAATTCTTGGTCATTGAAAACTGATGCGAAGAACTTGTTGAATCCAGTAGCTTTTTCGAGTTCAGTTGTCAAGGAAATATTGCCGTGATACATGATGGATGGAAGGGCAGAATTATAACCGAGAGTTTTGAGGAGCTTAAAACATTCGCTCGTAGAAGAAAGATTGAACTGATTAATAAAGACCTCTTTGTCCAATTCAATTGATTCAGAAAGATATCTAGTGATATCTTTCAATTTAATTGCCTGCAAATAAGAATTTTCTTTTTTTAATTTGCGAAGTGTTGTTTCTTTCTGATTAATTAAATGAACAGTATGCGAAGAATAAAATATCGGCAACACCTTCCTTTTGGAACGTTTTAATTTAATGGCAGACTTGAACGAGCTATTGAGAAGACTATACCACTTATCAGCATAGGACTCTATTGTGCAAGAATTAAGAGATACCAAATTGTACATAGATTGAAGATAAGTATTGAAAGTTTGGATGTTAAAAGAAGATTTGGAATAGGAACTTTGCAGCTCACAAGTCGGATGTACAGAATTAAAATTAAAGAAAATGGGGTAGTGGTCGGAGAAAATTTGATTGCCAACTGATACAGGTAAGTTTATTTCATTAGAAATAACGAGATCTAGGATATTTTTGTTCTTATGTGTCGCTTCAGTAACAAACTGCAGAAAACCATTTTCGATAATGATTTCAAGAAAAGAGCGTTCATTTGTAGAAGAAGAGGAGTAAGTATTCCAATCAATAGAAGGAAAATTAAAGTCCCCGAGAAGGTAAAAATTATAGGTATTTCCGTATCCGTATTGCTGTAAAATTTCTTCAATCTTCAACAAGTAGGACTCAATGCAATTTAGGAGGAGTTGAATATTAACAGAATAAATAGAAGACATGGGAGGGTTATAGATGAGAACAAAGAAGGAGGGTAGTTCGCTTAATACAACACATGAAACGGCAAATTCAAATGACGGAATGGTAATATTCATAGCTTTGAGAGGGTCGTTGGCCGATTGTGCAATAAGTAGACCACCGTGCTGTCTTCGTTCTCGATCTGTTCTACATATAGTGATATAAGAAGAGCCAAGAAAAATTTCAGAATCATCAATGTCGGGATTAAGCCAAGTTTCTGTAAGAAACACCAAAGAAATCAAATTAGTATTACAGAGACTAATTAATTCGTATCTCTTATCGAGTGGACATATAGATTGACAATTTAACAGTAAGCAATTCGTAGATTCTAGTCAATTTGAGGATATGTCAACTGGCGCGCCTTTATAGTAAAGTTTAAGATTTTTGATTCGAAAATCTTTCTTGTTTTTCGCCTCGGAAGTAATCATTTGATATCGTTTGGCCAGAAGATTTTTCTCAGTTTGACGATCCGAATGTGAAAGGAACTTTTTAATATACACTCGGTTTATGTAATTCTGAAGGTAGTGACTACGAGCAAAGCAGTTATTTAAGAATCGGTCATTAGAAGTTGTAACAAGGAGGGGTCGACATCTTGGTCTATCAGAAGCTAATTCATTTGGAGAAGATTTAGTAATCTTTCCAAGGCGTCGAATCGCAGTGATATTATTCTCTGGATGCAATCCCATATGTTGCATTATTCTATCAATTTCTGTTGAGTCGTTTTCAATTTGCTTAAAATAAGAGCTTTCGTTTTCAGGAAT